TGTGATGAAAATAGGCAAGTGGTGGGTATCGAGGGTGGCCTCTGCGATCATGTATCGAGAGCGTACAATTTCAACTCCCACGACTTTCCTGGGCCAAGTGATGGCACAAGGTTCCGTCTTGCATTTCTATGCAATAAGCAGCTTGCCTAGTAGCAAAGAACGCTACTAGTAACTAGTAGCAAAGGGCATCGTTACTAGGAGCAAGGACGCCACTAGGGGCTCCTGGCACTACTACTAGGAGCAAAGAACGCCACAGCGGACAGCTTGCGTGCAAGAAGGCAGCCATGTTATTTAAAGTCCACGAGAAAGGTGCAAAAATTCAAGCCACAAACCACCCACGCAGAGTTCATTCTAGAATTCCAAAGAACTAAACTCTGTTGCATAATGGTTGCACATATTGCAAAAGTCGCACCGGTACCACCTGCCTTTGTCGATCAAATCTAGCAAAATATCTGTTGTAGCTGCATATTTGATGATCAACAAGTTGAATAAACAGAGACACACGCACACTGGTGAATGAGTCTTGAAATTGGAACCTCCTAAGTAGACGTCCTTGAAGCTGAGAAAACGCAGGTCAAGTTAAGTCAGCGACACCGTCGACCAGGTCAACAGAACCGAATCCAAAAAGGTCGCTGTTCTAGCAACAAGTAGGGCCCAGAAGTTTGAAAGTGATCACTCAGCAGGTACGTAGTTCTGGCGTCCCAGAACTATATCACAGTGCAACAGATGCGTCTTCGTTGGCTGGAGACATCTGAAGCACACTCCAGCCCCCTGCTCTCAAGAGTCGATACAATTTAAAGAAACTTGTCAACCGCGTGAAAGAGCGGGTTACACACACACACACACTCGAGAACACACAATAAGCTTCGGGAAAGATACATTCCTTTCGAATTGCTCTAAAATTGCATACATACATGACGAGATGGGATCTTCAATTTGATCTCTGGGACCTTCAAGGTGTCATGCTGCCATGCTTCACAAGACCGACCGTTTCCTTCTGCTGACCCACACGTTGGGACGACAGCCGTGACGCCTTACTGAAGCGCTCTGTAAGAAGATCTGCATGGCCACCGTTCCACTGCCTTGGAAACTGTGTGGACACTTTGCTGAAAACGGCTCGAGGCACTTTGTGCATAAAGCGCTCCAAACATGGACGAAGTATTGACAAAGTATGCCCAAAAGTTGTTGGCTCTCATAGTGATGCGGCTCTCAAAACTACTCAGCATCACCGTACATGTTCTCCAGTGCTCTCAAGAGTCCAAGCGCTTCCTCTGGTGCCCCTGCCCATACCGAGTTCCAAGACCATGGAGCCTTCCTGACGATTTGGATGAACAAAGTAAGCACCCATAGAAAAATACAATGGAATCACATCAACTTCTGTAAATATCTGTGCCATTTCTCGGTGTTCCTTCTCTTCTATATGTTCTTTCTTCACTCTTCAGACCTTTGTTCTTCCATTCACATCAAACTCCAAAGCGACGAAAAAGCAAACGTAGTAGCCATAGCGTACAGTAATACAGAAACAACAGACATCCAGTGAAATTCCACAAACTCGAAAAAAGGTTCAACAGGAGAAATTACACGTTTGCTACGTTGGTATATACCATAACCTTAAAGCTATTTGCCACGTTCGTAGCCTTGCTCCGTTCGTAGCGATGCCCTTTGTTCCTAGTAGAGTCCTTTTGTTACCAGTAGAACCAAAAGAAAAAGAACTTAAAAGGCAGTCATGCAGTATGCAATCAGAAAGGACGCTACTAGGGGCTCCTGGCATCGCTACTAGGAGCAAGGATGCTTCAATCAAATGTCAATCAAATGTCACGCTAACAAGAAGCTAGTAGTAACAGGTGCCACGCTAGTAGTAACAAGTGCCTTACTAGTAGTAACAAGAAGCGTATCTGTCACGCTTCGATCATGGCATCCCCACCCGCAAGGCTTCGCCGAGGCGGGAGACATGCAAAGCCTGGCGCCGTGCGCTGGACGCACGACCGGGCAGTCATTGCAAGTGTGACATCGACTCAGAATAAACAGGTGGTAGAATATGGTCATAATGTTTTGAAGCTTCGAGGATTGCAAATAAACAGCTACTGTTCATCATACACCTTTACAGTCCTTAACTGCTTGCTCAGTATATTCAGAGCTTTCGACCTTTCCACGTTTCTTTTCTTTTATCTTCTTTTCCCCTACGCTCTACATGTGTCTTAAGTTAAGTTTCCCTAACAGTTTAAACATCTAGGAGCCAAATCACTAGCGTGAGCTGCGTCCATACTAGTAGCTTAAGTAGCTAGGCGTGTCTCCCCTAAGTAGGCACCTTCTTATACAATTCGGGAGACAGGGCCTCGGGCTTTCAACAAGAGTTTCGTCTCGCTGAGCGTCGCTGCGTCGTCACGCGCCTTGGAGACGCCATCGGGCAACATCTCCCCATAGAGCAACGAACTGCCTCGCCTCGGTGAAATCTCGCACATCACACTAGTAGTAACAAGAAGCTAGTAGAAACAAGTGCCTTACTAGTAGT